TTCGTGGTCGAAATATCTGAATTCCTTCTAAATACTCGAACAGTCTGTTCATGTAATTACCTTAGAGAAGTGGCATGAATCGAATTTAGAACTTGAATTTCAACTAATATCAGGGGATGATTGGTGTCACATATGCTGTGTTCATTCACTTAGACCAAGTTAATTTCCCTTGTTGTACGAGTCATCAGCATGGAGACAGAAGGGGCGTTAATAGTGTTGATAACATTGTGATCCATTAGAAGATCCCCTTGAATGATCCAAGCATATGACTATAACAATGATTTTATCATGGAAATGGCAACTCTCACCAATCGGTTTGCAGTTCCCTATTAAGGAAGGATAAATCCGTAAACTCTTTTACATCGTATAATAAGTTAGTATATAAAGTGATGCTTAAAAATTATATATTGATATAAAATTTATATATCGATATGAGTAACTTATGATGTTTCTAACTATATTTAGATACAAAATTTATAAGTCTAGACTAATTTAATTAGAGTACTTTATATAGATTAAACTCCTTCTCAACCCGACCCGAGGGTAATACTATAATTTCTTCAAATTAATTTATGGATAATTGTTATAATACACACTCTCTATTATTTTTCTAAATTAAGTCCTTATTTTATATCATGTCGGAGTCGGTGGAAGATATACATTTTTCAGGCCGGGTCGGGTTCGGGTGGTATGTATATATTTTTCTGGTCGGGTAGGGTTTACAAAAAATTCAACCTGTTACCATCCCTAACTGCCATGTCGGTACCATGAATCACCATGTCAGTATTATAAATTATCACGTCAATACCGTAACAATCAATGACAGATTACGTTAATCAAAATGTCACATTAAATTATAAGTTGGAGGACTGCATTAAATATACAAATAATTTAAGGATCACATTAATTTTTTTAAAATTACAAGGATATCACATAGTTTTTTTTTCCAAAAAAATCATTGCAGGATGTTTTACCGTCCTATTGGTGATTGGTTATAACAGAATGTTGGTGATCAGTTGGAGTTATTTTTAAAAAATTGAGTCCTTATACATAATTTTGGGTTTACAGTAGTAATAATATAGATAATAAAATATTAAATAAAAATTTATTTAAAAAAATATTTCATTAGTCCTAATGTTTCAAAATTTAAATCACCGACAAGATATATGAATTACATCGAATATAAATTATTTAATTTAACTACAATTTATAAATAAATGGGCCTTACTCTATAACTTAGTTTCCAAATAGGCCTCTCTGGCAGAATTCTTCAAGGTAGTAGTGTTGAGAGGACACGGATTTCATTGATTATTTATTTCACAAGACAAAAAACGAATGCCTAGGTAGCTATGCCCACTTGAGCCAAGCCCAAACATGTATGATTATCGATAGGGTAATTGTTTGATTAAGTCGAATTAAATAAACTTTTTAGAGTTATTTTAATTGACGAATTCTATTTTATAACTCAAATTTCATTTGAATCTTTTTTCTAGTCTAATTGAATATATAAAATTTAAATCGAGTCAAGTTTTTCGAGTTTCTGTTTAATTTTATTATAAATATTTATAATAGTACGATATTATTTGATTCCAAATTAAATAATTTTTATAATCATATACAATATATATTTTTATTTCTTTATATTTTTTATATGTGATATATCACATATAAAATTGAGGGACTCGACTCAAACTTAAAAATGAATTAATTACTAAAAATTTTAAATTATTCTCAAACTCGACTCAAATTTAAAATTTTAAGTTGATTTTATAAAATTATGAGTCGAATCAATTCAAATTAATTTTTATAGAATCAAATAAAAAATCAATTTTTTAAAATCAGATTATTTGCTTCATATTATTATTATTTGCTCTTAAATGTGGATAAACATTCATTGGTTGAGCAACACCGTGTACAGTGGAGGCCTTGTCGGTAGAAATAAAATTGAAGTAAAAAATTCAATAGAAAAGCTTTTTCCGCCTAAATTGTTCAATTGGCTATTCTAAAATGAACTTTATCTCGTAAAGAAAGGAAAGAGAAAACAATGGAGGAAATGATTTACAATGGGGATGATCATTCACATGCGTGGGATGTGCTGTCCAATTGAAGAAAAAAAAGCTTTTTTTTTTCTATAAAAGATTTTAGGCCACTATTATATGATTATGTTAATCTGCATTAAACAAATTAAATCACAGTTGATGTACGAATAAAATATATTCTAAATCTTCCAACAAAGTGGGCAAATCAGACACAAATACAAGGTAGAATTATTGGGACAATATAAGAAACAGACGAAAACCATTTATTATTCTTCTCTTTTGTAATCATTAAAAGGACAAATGTGAATGAAATTGGAAGAGTTATTATCCAAATTCCTTCCTTCCATATTTTACTTTTGCCTAAATTTCATGTTTTTTTTTACTAACATTTTTCCTTTGCTTTTCTAATGGCTGTCTCTCTGTTTCATGTGTCCTCGTGAGCTTTATAGTGACGGGCACTAATTACCGTTTTCATTTGCCTGTTAAAGTTGATACTTTAATCATGATAACCACCTCCACCACCACTAGCACCGCCACGTTAGTTAGTTGGTTTCCACCCATCACGGCGGCTACTATTTATCAATCAATTAATATACGTATCAGAAAGGTGAAGTACTGAAAAGAAAAGGTAAACAAAAATCAATAATTAGCAACTTCAAATCGCTTAGAAGTTAGAACCAGGCCTTTGAACTATTTCAAAATATATCTAAAAAATAAATTAAAGTGATAATGATGGAAAAATAGCGAAAAGGGGAAGCAGGCGAGGGATTGTTCATGAGTGTTTCTTTATGGCGTCATCAACATAGCTTGCATGTGAAAGCTCCTTTATCCATTCAAATGTTCGATGACGAGACAAAGCTTGCTTTTTCTTCTTTTTCTCTTCAATGGCGGCAGCTTGTGGTGTTGCTTTGTCTTTCTCACCGTTCTTGTTACTTTTGGTGACGACTACGTTGTTCAGTGGTACTGTTTCAACTGCATTAACAGAACATGTACATCCGCTAAGCAATCCCACTCTCTTTTCTAAGAACCCTATGTTCAAATCTTGCTGATTCTTTGCTACTTCTGCGCCTCCATTGTTAACCACATTCTTGGTGCTCGAACTGCTGTTACTGCTATTACAACTGCAGTTTCGACTGACAGAATTTTTATTGCCATTGTTGTTGTTGCTACGAAGTTTCAAGTCTTGCAATTCAAGCCCCGGTGCTCGAACCAAGCCTAACTTGAAAAAATCCCACATCGATGATCTCTGGTTTCGGCTGCCAACGTTTGGTGTTCGGGTTTTCGGCAATCTGATTTGTGGCTTAGGGCTCGGATGTGTGGTGAAGCTGTTTCTGATTTTGATAGACTTTGGCTTGGGATTGGAACTTTCCATTCTCTCTGCTATTGAATTACTGCTACTTGTCGTGTGATGGCTGCTGCTAGTGCTGCTGCTACTAACACTTGTGAACCTACTTAATGAACCCTGGTCCATGGACTCTGACCTCGACAAGCTCATGCTGGTGTTGTGGCTATCTTGCCGGAACCCATTTATTCCACTGTCCGAGCTGACGGAGTGACGCAGTGGCAGAATTTGGCCTTTGAAGAACACTTCATCAGCTGCACACATCTCTGGTTTTATCGAAATAGAGCCACCCCACGAACCAAAGTTGAAATCTTCTTCTGTTTGACTCGTTTGGGCCTGGCCACCATCTTCTTCTTGGACCACCTGGTTCTCTTCTTTAATCAAATTGACAGGCAAATCACACAGCGACAACGCTTCTTCTTCTTCTTCTTTTTCTTCCTCAGCTTCCCATTTTTGTTCATCACAATTTTTAATTGCAGTACTTTCCATTGCTTTCCAACTCAAATATAAACTGGAATGAAAAAACAAAGGGTTGGGAGAAATGGGGTTTATATATAGAAAAAGAAAAGAGTAAATTTTGAATTTGAGAGAGAGAGAGAAAGGGGGACAAATGGAAGAAAAAGAAGTAGAAGGTACTGGAAAAGTAGTAATAATACAGAAACAAAAATGGAAAATTCACAAGTCAGAGCAGACGAAGCAAACATGGTGGCGGTGTTTTAATGTTTTGGAGTTGAAACAGAGGGGGACTATGAGGCCGGCCATTAGCCAAAACGAGGAAGGGCTTGGATTTTATGCTTTTATGGGGGCTAAAGCAAGAAGGCGATCTGGCATGTAAACTTTATAAAAAATGTTAAAAAGTTGATTTATAATGTCGAATAATAATGGCTAATCTCTAGGATTCCATTTAGTGAATCGAGTTCTTTTGGGTAGTTTCACATTTTCAAAACTGTTTGAAATGAAAATTGCTTTATTGAGACACATGAAGGGTTGGTGTAGTTTTTAATACAAATTTTATGTTTATTATTATATGTGGTGCAAAATGGAAGATTTTGAATTTGAAAGGGATTCATTAGGTGTCTGATTTATGCCTTTGCCGAGGAATGAATTGTATTCAGATTGAAGAGATTTTAAATTTAAGGACCACAGCCAGAATTTGTCTTAAATTGAGGAAGGAAAGGCATTGATTATAAACCAAGAAACCTCATTACTGTTGTGCCATATCTTTACAGTGATGTCTGAAAATTGAAAAGATTCTGCATGGAGTGTTATTCATAAACTCTTTTTTGTATCAGTCTGCCGAGTTCAGTATTCGCATTAACACTTCATTAATCGTCATATATTTAAAATTTGATACGTTGAACACAATTTAATTAAAATACTAATCCAAAACAATCAGGAATGAATTTAGAACAGTTTAAGGAGCCCATAGACTTCAAGCAGTTGGGCTCAAATCCTTCAAGGGTCCATAATTGTGGACCAAGTCCCCCGTCATAGCAACACGTGGTATGCAAAGTTCAATCCACGTGCCATGATATTTTCTAAACACGTCATTTCATATACTCCGCCGTGATTGTATCACTGCCCCCTTTCTCCGACCACGTTTCAATGGGTAATTGTCTAGATACTCAAACTCATGTTAGCAATTCCACTAAGAAAAATTCCTCAAATATCGATTCAAAATATCTTTTAAAAAAGATGAAATAAAAACGTTGGTTGAAAATGTCCTTTTTATCTGGATTACACCTTTACCGGAAAATTACCTGTTTTCCAATTCAATCAAATCACTATAGCTACTCTTTATGCTCTCTATTGTTGCATCCGAATTCCAGAACTCAGTGGTTCAGTTCAGGAGCTGGCTCGGCCACTCAGGCCGAGTTCCCTGGCGAGAATGCGTACGATATCTTAGGAGTTGCCGAGACCAGTTCGTTCGCTGAAATCAAAGCGTCGTTTCGTAAGCTCGCAAAAGAAACTCACCCGGACCTTGCTGAGTCGAAGAACGATTCACCAGAGTCTTCGAAAAGTTTCGTCCGGATCCTCGCCGCTTATGAGGTGTTGTTGCAATTAGTACTCTCTCAAATTCAGTCCAATATGGATGTTTTTTCTTTCTTTCTTTCTTTTATTGATTTCAATTACTAGCTAAATTTGAAATATGAAAGTTGGTAGCAATTGAATTGATAATAAATCGAACATATTCTATTCAATTTAATGAACTTTTGCTAAAAACGATTGCACCTACGCTAATTGGTAATTTTGAAACCCGTTTTAATGCTGGAAAATGGAAATAGATAACATAAGAATCATCTTTTGGTGGATTTAGGTTACATTGAATTGAATCATTATTTTTGTCAAAACAAAACATTGAAAGTACTTTCAAATGTAATCCATTTTAAGAATTTAGAGAAAAAAGAGAGTTAAGGTACAGCAGGGAGTTTGATTTTATACACTACAAAGTGTATTATGGTAATGGAAGTGCTTTATATTCTCTTACGGATGCATTTATAATAAATGGCATTCTAAAGCACGAGTGTCAACTGACATCAACGGATGCATTTCTAATACAGGTCATTTTGATGCATGAGTGTTATCAATATTGTATTGCAGATTCTTTCAGATTCTGAGAAGAGGGCGCATTATGACAGCTATCTGCTATCTCAGAGAATGGTTGTGCAGAAACATTCTAGACAAGGTTCGACGTTGTTCTCGTATACTACCCATATGTCTATTAATAAGCAGATGGAAGTTGTTGAATGGTTAAAGTGGTATAGATTAACTATAAATGATATCGTGTCTCAAAGGAAAGCAGTGGTCGGAACTGGCTATTTTGATGTTCTTGAAGCAGATTTTTATTCTGCGATACAAACAGCATATTATGGTCCTGTAATTGAATCCATGGATCTTCTTCCTGATCGATTTGAAGCTGAAGAAAGGTCTGTGTATGAAACTCCGGAGGTACTGCACTTGGTTTCAGGGCGCGATCTTTTTGGGATGGTTTGCCTGGTTGATAGGGTTCCTGAGTTATCTTTTAGCTATAATGAGAAATTGACTTCTTTTATGTCTTCAGCTTCAATCATGTCCCGGTCTACCCAAAATTCTAGAATCTGCATGAATGACAAGCATGACATCCATGGTGGAAATTCTCAGATTCGAGTAACAGATAGAAAAAATCATGCATCTGATGCATATAGAGATTTGGAGTTACATGTATCTGGAAGAGTGGTTGCTGTTGCCACCAGAATCCCTCCTAAAAGCTGTTTTGGTGAAACACAAAATGAGGATGTTGAAGACCTTATACAAGTTTTTCTTACTTCAGATGATGATTCCATGCCTTTCAGTCAAGGATTGGATTGTAAAGTTAGATCCCGAGTTCTGTTGGGAACAATAACTGGACTTGGAACCTGCCCAGAAGAGGGATCATGTTTTGTTTACAATAGAAATGGTTCAAAAACCCATGTGATAATGAAACATAGGACATTGCTGGTTTGTAATTATGTTCTCCTTAAATCCTATGCCATTTTTCTCCTATCCTTTTTATAGATGCATAACTTTGGCTTTTAGTTTATTTAGACAATCTTTGCTGGCCTAATTTTTAAGTTTTTTTCTTTCTTATTTCTCAAGTAATTTTGTTTATACAATGTGCTGCATGTACCATAAAATTGAAGGATTTGCATTATCAGTTAAGTATCTATTCCCTTTTGATTTGTTTTTCTTTTCCAGGTGAAGCATATGCATTGGTTTCGGGTGGGAAAGGAAGTTTCTGTTTGTGAGTGTAGATGTAGTAGAGCTCGATTACCACCTAGCAAGTAAGCTTCTTCTTTCCTTTTCTTTTTAATTGTAAAATAATGTTGAAAGCTAATGCCTGGTTTTGAGTATTCTCACATTAGCATTCATGTTTTGCAGTTAAATGTGATTGTTATCATTGAGGAAGCCAGGGTGACTATAATAGTGTTCTTTTTTTTTTTAATTCAGTACATTGGATGTTTCATTATTTAACAGAAAACTGGTAGAGTTCATTTATTGAGTTTTACACTTCTACAGCTCTACCTTTTTCTTTATCTTATCTCTTCTGTATCTTTCTTTTGATTGCGTTTTACTAAAGAGGTTAAGGTCAGTGATCTGTAGTAAATGTGTGTGTATCGAGGGAGATTATGTAATTCTGTGACATATTTGAAAAAATGAACTCCAACTTGTGTCATCATGCTTCCTATGCCCTTTACACAACCATCTTAATCTTTGGTTGACTTTTAGGCTGGTCTTCTATTATTTCTAGAATATTTCATTTCATTTTATTTTCTGTCGTCTTCAAGGAAGAAGCTTACCCTAAGTCTGTCTATTTCTAACTTAGCTGTAATTCATTTTCCTATTGTGGCTTTATTAGGGATCTAGGTTGAGCTGTCACTTTGTTTTCTGTTTATGTGTGAAGTTTGATCTTATTACGTGGTACTTTTAGTTTTTGTTGATTTGAAAGCTCCATTTTCGTGAATTACACATGCATTTTTCAGGTTTTGAGGCACGCTTGTTGATTAGACGTGCAAACTCTAAAGTCTGGTTAGATTATAATATTTTGTAATTTGGCAACAGATTTTGGTTGTTTGAACCTCGTTGTGGAATGCATGACATTGGTGGTTGGTACATCGAAACCTTTGGGCGAGATAAGAAAGGCAGGACAGTCCCATCCCAAAGATATTGGGATGGGGTTGATGCAGCTGAACAATTTGATGAGTAAGTACACTCTATTTTGTCACTTCCCTTGGGCTTATGCTTATATGTGAAAAGATGAACTGAATAACTGGCTGGTCTAAATCAATATTAACTCTGATGGGACTAGAATATTTTTTTATTGATTAGATGAAGCTGTAGTGTTTTGAATTATATAAAAACTTCAAAATTCAGGAGTGGCCTAAATTGCTTGCAAGATTAATTTTAACTATCTGTCCAAAATGAATTTTCAAAATCTGTAGATTAGGGCATCAATTTTTTGGTTAATTTCTATATCCTTCAATGTTGTCAGCCGGTTCTTTTAATGTAGTCATCATAAACCTGTAGAAACTGTCTCAATCTTGATTTTCCACACTCGATGTCGTCTAAGGTTGGTTCTGTTTGTGCTACTCTACATGAGTCTCCATCCCAAAGCTTCCTCAAGATCCTGATGAAAAACAACTCTGGTTGTGGCTTTGATACGAAACTATATAGTAAGTTCATTCTCTGAATTAAGCTTTGAAAGTATCTTACTTTGTTATTAAACTGTTCCAGGAGACTCCATCCAGCTATGTATTTGCTTGCCCTTGCATATAGGACTCTAGATATTGAAGATGCAAAAATAAGGAAGCAAACCATTTGGAAAGTTGTTGGAGGAAAACTATTTAGAATCCTCAGTTTGTACAAGAAGTTTGTTTAGGATAAATACCTCTTTGGGATTGTGAGTATGCATTATACTTGGTTGGGGAGCGTCAAGCAGAAGTCGCACTAGCAAATTTATTGGTGAAAAATGGTCAAGGGGGTGCAATTTGTATTTGGCATTCAATTTTTCCGAGCATAGTGAAACGCCATGAAGGTACTGTGATAAATGAAGATATTGGAAGTTCTCATTTGGATGTATGAAGAAAATGATTCCATTGCGTGCCCATTTATGCATCTTATTAAGATAATTCGAATGATCTGTGTCCACTGTTCAGACCTGTTCGCTCTACTTCATTGTCAGCACTCGAATCTGCTATAAGAGAGAAAAAACTTCAAAACCTTTCAGACCAGTAGGACTTGTGAGGTATCACCATGATATTGCTCATACTCATTGTGCTTCACCTGTTAGTTTTGATCAGATGGTAGCAAAAGGGACTGATGGCATTCTAAAAATGCCACGGTATATAATCTCCTATGCAGCTCTCTCTCTGGTTTGTTTTCCTATGCAACCAGTTTAGAGATACACGTGGCTAATTCTGCTTTGCCATTAAATATATTCTCTCATGTAGTGTGTTGTGTACATATGTATAGGTAAGCTGTAGATTTGGATTCGGCTTCTTTATCGTTTCTTTGCACTTTCTTGATGGCTTGAAATAATTGGAGAAAATCTTGGCATTTGCAAGGTCTATATTTACTATACTTAGTTTTTGCTGATTCTCTTTTTTGGGCGTATCTGCCATTGATTGCACTAGCTGAGGGAAACTCCTGAAAAACAAATCACAACCTTTTTACTTTAGTATTTCGTGTTAGGCATAATACCAAAATTTGCCCTCAAATATTTATTAAAATAGTCATTTTGGTCTTTGTTTTTTCTAGGAGAATTTTGACTCCCAACCTTTTATTTTAAGATAAAAAGGTCCATTTATAATTATAAATAGTCAATTAATAAATGATTAACCCTCTAAAGTAAGGGTTATCGTAAAATGAAATGTTGGGAGGTCAAAATATTTTAGAATAAAAAATAAGGATTAAAGTGATTTTCTAGTTAAATGTTAGGGCTTTTAATATTAAAATGAGATGTTGAGAGTTAAAATATTCTAAAAGAAAAATAAAAATCAAGATAACAAACGTTGGGGTAATTCGTAATTGTAGTATTATGTGTTCGTGTTATCTACCTTAGTAAATCGAGGCCTGCACTAAACCCGACTTCGCTAAGTAATCAGCAGCTGCATTATTTCCCCTGTAAGCATGTGCCTTTTAACTCATTATAATTTATAAGTATCGCCCACGGCAAATTAAGCCGAGCAAGAAAAGAGAAGTCTACGTTTTGTCTAAGTCGATCCTAGATTAAAGTAATTGAACCATTACCTTTAATCCTAAACTATTGATTGGTCTGCGGCGTTGTTTCGATATCCAAAGGCAGTTTTTAAGTTATTTTGATTAAATGGAGAGGTATTATACTTTTAGGATAAATGTTGAAATTTGAACCCCTGTTGGATGAGATAAAAAGAATATTCTTAACTACTTGACCAATTAAGAGGAGGAAGATTTTGGGCACAACATCTCAGTTAAAAAAAAGACTTAAATAGTTGTACAAATCAACTATCATCATAAATCAAATTGTCTTACTAGATGTTTCATCCTAGTTGGAAAAAACATGTCACTTTGATGTACTTTAAAGGTGAACTTGAGGAAGGTATTTGATTCTTTGAACTGGAATCTTATTCTCCAAGTTTTAAGAGTTTCTGGCTTTCTTGATCAGTTTTATACATTGGATTGCAGGATGTTTACTCATTTTGTTTCTTCTAAAATGGTGCCCTAATGGGGTACATAACTGAGGCAAAAGGAGTTAGATTGGGGATCCTTTGTCCTACCACATTCCATTCGTGATTGGGATGAATATTCTCTTGGGGGATGTTAAACATGGTGGGCAATGGGCATCCATAAAGTTTTCAGCGATCACCAAGAAGCTGCAACTTATTCATTTGTGAGTTGCAGACGAACTTTAGTGTTTACCGAAGGTTCAGTAGATTCTATCCGGTAATTAGCAACATCCTGGAGTTCTTTTATAAAATTTTGGGGCTGCAAATGAATAAGCAAAGAGTAAACTCAGATTACAGAAACTTACACCAGGGAACCTCTGTTATATAATTGTATTGGCAATGGAGGAGTCTCTGATTTTGGATGAATTTTTCTTCTGTCCAAAACAAAAAAATAGTAGGGAAGAGGATATCCTTTAGAGCCTTGATTATTGTAGATTATAAAGCATTAGCATATGATCAATTATTGGAACTGTGGCTGAATATTTGGAATCTAAATGCTTCATTTATGAGTGGAGCTCAAGGATTTTCGATGATAGTGTTTTAACTTCATCTGCTTGATGCATTTGGTGATTGTTCAGTAACATTTTATTTACTTAAAATGCAGTTGATAGGTGGTTTATTTAGTTATTATTTTACCTTTAAATTGCTACTTAGTTGTTGGTTTTTGTGACTGATTTGTTCGTTTTGATTTATTTTTTTACAGTACACTAGATTATGGAAATTGTACTAAAAAGACATAATTCTGCTGTTTTTTTAGAATCAATGCTAGATTAGTGAGCATGACTCATCTGACGTAGCGTTAAGTCAGCACCTTCCAGAAGGTCCAGTCAGCGCTTATAGAAGGATGGATGGGTCTTTCGCGTTCTTTGAAATTCAGATTCAAGTTAATATCATGTTTTTATGATTTTAATTTAAATATTTTAAGAGTAATTATTAGGAATTATCTCTTATTTTTAGGAATTATCTTTTCTTTGTTTTTAGGATTTTTGAACGCTATAAATATCTTTTCAGGGTAAGCATAAAAACATATTCAGAATTCATTTTTTTCTTCCTCTGGGTTTTATAAAACTTTTCTTTTCTTTTTTAAAGTTTTTTTTTGTTTTTGTTTTTATTTTTAAAGATGCTAAGTATGATTGTCATACTTAGCTAATTTCTCCATAAACCAAGGGCTAAAGCGATGACTCAATTCCTATTGTGAGGATTGAAAAACACTTAAAATATCTTCGGGTTATTTTCTCAATTTTTTTGGAGAAATAGGATAGGTAATCGACATATCCTTTAAAATCAAAACGATTTTAAATAAAAAAGAGCTCGTTGGTTTGGATGTTGTTCTGATTTAAAGTTGGGAGGAAGAATCAACTAGTAACTAGTTCGACTTCCTGTGAACACACTTAGTGGCGGTCCGCTAAGGGAAATCAAGATCGAACTTGATTCTCATTGAGAAAACATAGTCCGAGTCGGGTTTTGTAGCATCCCAAAAACCGGGTTAGTGACCAAATTGTAAGATTTTAATATTTCGTGATCAAATTAGATAAACTGAAAAGTTCAGAGACTTATTTGGAATAACTTTGTGTAGGATTGAATATCAAAGAATAAAGGATGGAAGGGCATAATAGTAATTTGATAAGAAAATGAATTAAAAATTCATTAGGGGTGTTTTATATTACATGTGGAGTTGGGAAGGAAAGAAGGAAATATCAGAGAATTCTAAAATCCATTTTCATCATTTCTTCTTTTTTTCATAGTGAGCTCTATAGCTAAGGTAAGAATGTTTTCAGTTGGTTAATTCTTGTAATTTATGATGGATTTTGATTCTTGAAGTATTAGGAGAGTTTAAGTAAGCTTAAAGAGAAGTAGAAACTAAAAGAATAAGAAACTATGAGTGATTGAATAAAAGGGGTTTTAGAGTGAATTTATGAGAAGAAGGTTATAAATGGATTTTTAAGCCAAATTTGACTTGACATAGGCTGAAATAAGAAATCTAAAGTGTTAGAAATGGATTTAGAGCATGTTGAAAGTTTGGTAAGATTCTTAGTTTCAAGTGATATTATGGGAATTTGGATAATTAAGTGTGTTAGAGTAATATAAGTTGGTTGTTATAAGTGTAGTTAAGTTTGAAGGCTTGAAAGGAAGTCATAGTAAAAGGTTTAAGGGAGTTTTGGTCAAATTTTGAATTGAAACGAATAAGTTCTACGCAAGGGGTATCGGTATTGGATGAACAATACCGATACTTCAAATTGAAAATAGGTGATAATTGGGTCTAGGTATCGATACTAGATGAACAATACCGATACCATAAATCAAAAGTTGAGGAATTATTCAAAGAGTAACGATACCGAGGTAGTAGTATCAGTACCAAAGGTATCGATACCACTTTTAGAGATAAAATTCTAGAAACGAGAACGGGTATCGATATTGAAGTATAGTATCAATACTATAAGTAAAGAAGTATAGGTATTATACCTTAGGTATCGATACTATTCATATGGAATTTTTAAAATTAAGTGTTTTGTTTATCTTATGTTAGTAAGAATTTATTATAGTAATGTGAGTTCCGATATTTATGTCAATTGTATATTTGTGTAGATATAGAACACAAGCAAATATCGAATGAGTCAACGAGATAAGATTGAGCAGAGAGAGATAAAAAGTTATTAGCGTTGATTGAACTAAGTGAGACTAAAGTGAGTTCATGCTACTAGGAAAAATGATCATATGGAAATAAGACTTGCGATGAGTGTTGAGTTAATCGATTGACTGAATCAGCCAAGAGGGGGGTGAATTGGCAATAAAAAATTTTGGTGGAAGCTTTTGCAGAAAATTGAAAGAAATTGCACAGCGATTTAGAGTGGTTCGACTTTATCAACCAAAGTCTACGTCCACTACCTTAGCTATCCACACTAAGGATTTTCCAACAAATTCACTAATTTGTTCTTTCTTTTGAGGCCAAAGAGATAACCTTACAACTCCCTCAAGAATATACCCCAATTCTTGAGAACACTCTTTTCTCAAAGAGAAATACAAATTTGCAAACTTACAAGAAAAACCTCACAAGGCAAATATGTTTGCACAATTCTAGAACAAAGAAAGAACACTCAAGAATAAATACAATTGAGCACAATAAGTGTTCTTGAAAGCAAAATGAATATTGAATGAAAAATAGGCTTGAAATGCTCAAACTTGAGGTTTGATGCTTTCTCTTTGATTCTCTCTTGATTCTAATTGCTTGATGTTTCTTGTTATTGATCAATGGCTTCTAAGCTTGCTTAAATACACCTTGAATCACTTCTGAACGTTGGGGATTATTAGAGAAAATAATATAGCCGTTTTAGTGTGAAAACAATTAATAAAACAGTTTGGAGTGTAGGGGGAATCGGTACCCCTATGGGGAATCGGTTCCCTAAGTGTAAAATTTAAATATTTCGACCGTTATACAAGGGGGGGAATTGGTACCCCCTGGGGGGGAATCGGTTCCCTCCGAGCATTCTGGATTTCTCGGAG